CACCCCGGCGCCCGCTCCGGCGCTGCCCCCGCACGGCCGGCGGCGCGCCCACCCCGCTCCGGCGGGAGTCGGGACACCCCTCCTCGGAGGCCGGAACCGCCGCGCCAGGCCCCTCCCACAGGAAGCCGCCGCCCCCCGGCGCCCGGGCCGCGCCGCCCCCGGCCCACCCCGCGCCGCCCGCCGCCCCCGGCCCGCCTCGCGCCGCCCGCCCGCCACCGCGCCCCCCGCGCCCGCGCTCGCTACCTGCCGCGGCCACAGAAGCGGCGCCCAACTCCTCTCCCACTTCCGCCTTCCACCGCCCGCACTCGGGCCGGGTCACGTGGCCGCGCGCGGTCACCTGACCCGGAAGAGGCTGGCCGGGCTCGCAGGTGCGGGCAACCTAGGCTGGGCCCAGGAACCTGTGACCCCCAAGGCCGCCTTCTTATCGCCCGAGTGTTCGCCAGCGGAAAGGTGTTGCGCTCGATGGGTGATCCCCGAGCAATCATGTAAATTGAGTGCCACGGGCTTTATTTAGTTTTTCTGTCAGCCCTATGGGGGCGGGTACAATTATTAACCCCGTGTTCCAGGTGAGAGAAGACCTTCCAGTTAAGACATCACTTGAGCTCCTTAGTAGGGTTGCCAGATAAAATACAGGACGTACTTAGTTTGATTTCATATAAACAAGAATGTAAAACATGTCCCAAGTACTGCAAGGGACATATTTATACAAAAGAAAGTATTTGCTGATTATCTGAAAATCAAATTTAATTATCTCTTATTTGCATTTGCTAGTTCTGGCAACTTTTCACCTACCATGTGTCAAGCTTTGTCCTAGGCTCTAAAAACAAAAGTCCAGGACTTTGTGACACATCAGTTCTTGCAACAAAAATTTAAAAACTTCAAAACACTTGGCTGGGTCCATAAAATAACCTGCCACACCAAGCCAACCCCATTCCCTTTACAGAGTACATAGATCTGTATGAATTAGTAAAACATTTTGAATCAACATTCTTTACTGATGATCTGGACCCTCAACATTGATGAGTTGTATGGGCTCAATTTCTCACCTTTAGTCACGCTGATTAAAATTAATACTAATCTCCAAGTGTGGTGGTCCATGCTAGGATCCCAGCTGTTTGAAAGGCCGAGGCAGAAGAATCCAAAGTTCCAGGCCAGTCAGGCAACTTGGACCCTGTTTCAAAATAAAATTTAAAATGGAGGGGAGGGAGGCTCTGGGGATCTAGCTTTGTGGTAGGACACTTGCCTAGCACATTCAAGGCCCTGGGTTTGATCCCCAGTGTTGAAAAAAAAAATTAAAATTTTAATATTAACCATCTGATTAGTCTTAAGGACTATGTACTAATTATTTCATTACTTTTGGGTCTTCAAGTTTGGATGGATCCTTAGTTATTTGTTAAGCAAATAACTTTTTTTTTCCAGTTTTCAGTGGACACAACATCTCTATTTTTTTTTATTTTTATGTGGTGCTGAGGATGGAACCCAGCACCCCGCGCATGCCAGGAGAGTGCATTACCACTTGAGCCACATCCCCAGCCCTAAGCAAACTTTTTTTAAGTGATCATAATTTTGGGAGTGGTGTTTTGAGAGTCCTTTGCCTTCTAAAAAGCCACAAACTTCAAAAATTGTCCCAGGGTGCTGGGCGTTGTGGCACATGCTTGTAATCCCAGCATTTGGGAGGCTAAGGCAGGAGGGTCTCAAATTTGAGGCCAACCTCATCAACTTAGACCCCATCTCAAAATATAAATTTTTTAAAAAGGTCTGGGGATGTGGCTTAGTGGTTATGCACCCCTGGGTTCAATCCCTGGTGGAAAAAAAAAAAAAAAACAATTTTTGTCCCAGGGGCCCACCCTCTGAGAAATTCTCCCCCAGATACCCTGTGCTACCCAGAGGTACTACCCTTAATTCCCTGAACATTCACACCTCAGTAGTGCTTTTACCCTGGTAGTGCTTCAAGATCCAATTTCAAACTCAAAAACTCTGAAGGTGCCCCTAGACATTGCACAAATTATCCATTTGCTCATGGCTGTTATATAAGCTTATCTATCACGGTATTAGCTTTCAGTACATGTTTGTTGAATAAATGGAAATGCCAAGGCTTTCCGGGGCTTGTAAAATGTTAAAGGGAAACAGAAAAGGGATTAAAATGCTACAAAAAAGTACTACAGAAGTTTCTAAGTGCCAAGAAATCCTTTATATTAAGTATTCTTAGTGTTTACTAGGAAATAGCTCAAATCTGAAATTTCTCAGATTATTCATCTAAATCAGTAGATCTCAAAACATGGCCTCTCAGTTGAGAATATAGCTTTGTGGTGGAGCACTTGCCTAGCATTCACAAGACCCTGCGTTCAAGCCCCAGCACCAAAAGGGAGAAAAAAGGTAGCTCTCCAGTTATGGCCCCCAGGTCAGTAGCATCAGCATCCCCTGAAACTTAAGGGAATTGCAAATTCTCAAGTCCTGCCAAGACCTACTAAATCCAAAACGGAGGATGGGGGCCAGTAATCTGTTCTCACAAGCTCTCCAGGTGATTCTGATGCTCAAGTTTGAGAATCACAAACCTAGATCATTCGTTAGCATTTAAAGCGATAACCTGCAAATTTCAATAACTCTCCTTCAGTAGGGAGTCAAGTTCCCACATCTTTCCTCCACTTTTAGGTCAATGTGGATGATCAACTGGGAAAGGAGAAATTAGAGACTGCAATAGTAGTGTTGAAGGAATTTTATTTTCTGGGAAAAAGATAAAAACTCGATTAGAGTAATGGTAATGGATGTGGAAGGGATCCAGATACCACAAACATTTCAGAGTGGCGTCAACACAGTGTTCTGAGAGAAATGAGTACTGGTTGAGAGTGAGGGTGGAGATGAGGATGACTCAGAGATTCTTAACTTGAATGCTTTGGTTGGTAATGCCTTTAATAATAATGATAATAAATAGGGACTCTAGCAATTGTAAAAAGCTTGAGGGGAACAGATAATTATATCAGTTTAAACTTTCCTCCTGAGTGAAGATGCCAGAAGTTTTCAGATGGAAGTTTCATGGAAAAGAGGGCTAGGAAATAAGACAGGGATTGGACAAAGAATTTGGGAGGAGTTTACCAGGCACCTTGATGCACAGTTTGTATTTCCAACAACTGGAGAGGCTGAAGCAGGAGGATTGTAATTTTGAGCACAGTCTGGGCAACTTAGCAAGATCTTGTCTCAAAAATAAAAGAAAAAGGGCTGGGGATAGATCTCAGTGGTAGAGTGCTCCTGGCTTCAATCTCCAGTACTGCAGGGGGCGGGGGCAGAGAGAAAAGAAGGAGGAGGAGGAGATGATTTGGGAAAAGAGATCCTCAAATGTGATTATTGAAGTCTTGGAGATAGATAGTATTGCTGAAACAAATGCAGAGGTGGATAAACAAAAATGCTAAGATGGTTCTATGGAGGGTACCATGGTTGTAAGACAAAAAGAGTCAATGAAAGAGGGTGAAAAGCCATCCATGAGGCAGAGAAACCAGGATCACAAAGAATCACCCAAACCAGGCAAAGCAAGACAATTCAGAGAAAGGAGGTGCTCAGTAATTTCAGATCCTGCAGATAATCTGGGAAAGCTGAAAAATAAAAAAACAAAACAGCAGGATATACTAGAAAACTGGAAATCGCCTTTAGCTGCACTGTTTTAGGATAGGTAGGTAGCACAGGTAGGCTCTAGAGGTTGAAGAGACTTGAGCTGGGCATGGTGGCGCAGGCCTGTAATCCCAGCAGCTCAGGAAGCCGAAGCAGGAGGATCGCCAAGTTCAAAGCCAGTCTCAGCAAGGGTGAAGCACTGAACAACTCAGTGAGACCCTATCTCTAAATAAAATACAAGATAGGGCTGGGGATGTTGCTCAGTGGTTGAATACCCCCGAGTTCAATCCCTACTACAAAAGAGAGAGAGAGACAGACAGACAGACTGACTTGAGGGTTAAGAAAGATGGATACAGAAAAAGTTAAAGGAAGGAAAAGGGATGTGGGTAGCTGCTGATGAATACTATCAGGGCACCAAAGGACTTTTGAGGTCAGATAAATCACAGGTAAGATATAAAATTGGAGTGGAAACCTGATGAATAGATTTTGGATAAAGATAGAATATACAGACTCAAGTCAACATTCTGCTAAAATTGCTAGCATGTATTAGGCTAGTTCTCATAATTATGGACTCTCTAATTTGAAAGGAAATGTGGAAACTATTATCCCTTCCATTCAATTCAGTAAGAAACTATTTTCTAACAAATTCTGTGCTTTGCTTAAGGAAGTGGGATGAGGATACTAAGATAAATAAAACATAGACCCTGAACCTGAGTTGCTCAAAATGAAGTGGGGGTACATAAACACTGGCCATATAGCATAATGGATAAGAATGTATCACCAAGTCAGTTTGAGGATTACTTGGTTACCACCACTTCCTAGGTAAGTTATCTGGGCCTCTTGGTCTTAAGTAACTATTACTTACCTGAAAATAGTACCTATCTCATAGGATCGTTACAATTAAATTAGGTGGTCTGTATTGACTAACTTTTATATATCTGTATATATGTACTTGAATATATATCTGTATATATTTACTTGAAATTTTAAGAAAGTTACTGCTAGGCACAGTGGCTTACATCTGTAATCCCAGAGACTGGGGAGGCTGAGGAAGGAGGATTGCTAGTTTAAAGCTGGCCTCAGCAATTTAGCAAGTCCCTGAGCAACTTACTGAGACCCTGTCTCAAAATAAAAAGGTATGGAGTTGTGGCTCAGGGGTTAAGCATATCTGGTTTCAATCCCTGGTACCAAAAAAAAAAAAAAAAAAAAGTTAAAAAGTACTGAGGAGTGGATGTTGAAGCAGATTTCCTTAGTTGTCCCTTCCCTCAAATCCCAAGATTGAACACTGCCCCTCACCTCCCTAGCTGGGTTGGAGAGTCGCTGCTTACGAGCAAAGGGAACACTGAGTCCGGTGACGTGGGCGTGGTCGCCAGGGGGCGCTGTTAAATCGCGGCCGCACCTCCCGGTTCCCGAGGCCTGGATTGCGATGTAGGGGCGGGCGCAAGCGCGTTGCGTGCCCGCCCCAGCAACATGGCGCCGGTGGAGCACGTTGTGGCGGATGCTGGGGCTTTCCTGCGGGACGCTGCCTTGCAGGTACGGGAGCTCCAGCCCCGAAGAGTGGAATCTCAGCTGGCAACCCCTGAGGGAGCGCATGGGATCGGGAGGGGCGGGACTTGGAGCGGGCGAGCGTGAGCTGAGCTGGGCTGGTTTCCCCGCAGGACATCGGGAAGAACATCTACACCATCCGGGAGGTGGTCAGCGAGATTCGGGACAAGGCCACGCGCCGGCGGCTCGCCGTCCTGCCCTACGAGCTGCGGTTCAAACAGCCCTTCCCGGAGTATGTGCGGCTGGGTGAGTGCCTCTGCCTCAGCATCGTCCTCGAAGCCGGGGCCCAGAGTCCACAGGCGACTTGCTTGGGTGCGAGTTGCCTGCGGATCTGGTTGCTTTGTCAGAGTATTTGACTTGGCGACAGCACGTTCTAGACCCTTGTGAGAGAGGCTTCCCAGGCCCGAACTCAGCCGGCCTTACCACTGCCTAGCTCTGTGCTGTCGGGTGTATCACTCAGACTGTGGGCCTCAACTGTAAAACGCGAATAATAGCACCTTCCAACCAGGTTGCTGTGGACGTTAAATGAGTAATTTGTCACTTGGCACCGTGTCCAGCACTTTGTAAGAATGCATTAAACTAATTTGGATTCTAAGTAGAAGATGGCAGATGGCTTGCCTAGCATGGGTAAGGCCTTGAGTTCCATCTCCACGCAAAAATTAAATAAATCAAAGAACACAGATCTCTCAGTCTTGTCCATTTCCTTAGGGTGATAGCTGTTAAGGAGGTCAGCTTCAGCCCAGAGAAAGGAATATTGCTAAGCCTTGCGTTAGATTTTTTTTAAAAACTAGTTATCCCTTGGCTTAATAAGCAGTGATATTCAAGAAAGGTTGTCTGTGGTTGGAAGTATTTTAGCGGTTGGGAGGCTGCTCAAACTGCTTCTCTGCTAGTTTGATTTCCCCCAGATTACTAGCTGTGGGATCTTTGCAAAGTACTTAATCTTTCTGAGAAAGTACTAATAGTACTTAGTAGGATCTGGTTGAGAATGAAATTAACATGTAAAGCTTTCAACTTGGTATCTAGTACATAGTAAGTGGACAATAAATTGTAGTTGCTATTTATCTTTTTTAGAAAATATTATCAGTGTACTTGTTCTTTGTGTTGTTGTAGCAAAAGGCATCTGTTACCAGAATATTTTATTGTGTTTTGTCAGTATATACAGTATATACAGTAGTAATAGCTGGCATTTACTATGTATTGTGCATATTGTAATTATTTTTTCAAAAAACTGGCTGTTTTTAAATATTTTTGTTTCATCAGACTATACATATGGTTGAATCAGCTTTCTACTCTTTTTTGAAATATGACTGTCCATTTTTTAAATGTAGATGGTTATACTTAGAATCAAAGAATTTTAGAGGTAGGGGAGAAGAGGGCTTACATAATGCCAAACCTTCAGGCTGGGCACAGCAGTGTGTGCCTATAATCCTAGTGACTTGAGAGGCTGAGGCAGGAGGATCACAAGTTTCAAGGCCAGCCTCAACAATGTAGACCCTATTTCAAAAAAATAAAGGGGTTAGAGCACCCCTGGGTTGAATCCTCATTATCACAAAAATAATGGTAATACCAAAGCTTCAGTAAGGAACTCTAATCATGGTCAAATATTATGCTGGCTTTCAATGAGTTTCTATTAACTTTCTTCTGTTCCTTCATCTGCGCTTGATAAGTATGTTATAGTAAACCTATTTGGCCTAACTCTTGGTAGAGAATACAAATTTTTTAGTCATAATTAGAAATAAGTTAGAAAATGGATGAAAGTGTTGGCATTTTTATGTGATAGTGATTTTTCTCATACTTGTTTTGGTTACCCAAGGTTGTATTGTTTTTCACCCTTAACTAATGTCAGTTTCTTGTTTACAGTGACTGAATTTTCAAAGAAAACTGGAGACTATCCCAGCCTCTCTGCCACAGATATCCAAGTGCTGGCACTCACTTACCAGTTGGAAGCAGAATTTGTTGGGGTGTCTCATCTAAAACAAGAACCAGAAAAGGTAAATCAGGAGGGTTGGGGGTTTTATCACTGAATTCTTTCTGGAAGTAAAAAAGAAGGAGCACCGTGTACTTGCCATTTCTTTCAATCCTTCCTACCTTCAAAACTGTGGATTCTGTTGAGGTTGGTTAGGTTGAAGAGAGTGATGGCATATTTGTGCTTGGGTCCCATTACCTCTTTCCAGGCCAGAGGATTGGGGAAACCAAATAATGAACAGTAATAATCTAATTCTAATAGTGTTGACAAAGAATTGCTTGATCTCCTCTGTCGTTAAGACTTTGGTGGCGCACATTTGTACCTATTCATAACTGTCCTCGCTTGTTTTTAGCAGGTTTAGAGTTCTCCAATCCAGAGTCTAAAGTCCTAGAATACATACTTTTGTGTTTCCACAACATTTTGGCAGGATGATGGTGAAGGGAATATTTTAGTGGTTTTATATAAACTCTGACTTTGATTTTCTGAACACAGTGTAGCTGGTTGGTAACTGTCAACCTCTGGTTTATTTTTTTAATATATTTTTTCAAGCTGGGGATTGAACCCAGGGCCTTATCCATGCTGTGCTATGCAAGCATTCTACCATTGAGCTGCATTCCCAACCCCAACTATGATTTCTAAAAGTCATCCTTTTCCACAGCATTTGGCAAAGAATTACATGTTCCATATCAAAAGCATATCCTTTAACTGAGCAATTCCACTCTAAGCCACTTATGTTAACTATTTTAACCAAATTGTACAGGTAATCATGTTTGTTACAGGTCTGTGTATAATGGTTAAAAAACAGGTGTCCAAGGCTTGGTTGCACACACCCGTATTTGGGAGGCTGAGGAAAGAGGATCATAAGTTCACAGACCCTGTCTCAAAATAAATTTTTAAAAGGACTGGTTATGTAATTCAATGGGTAGAACACTTGCCTAGCATGCTCAAGATCTTGGGTGAGGTCCCCAGTGATGCAAAAAAAAAAAAAAGTTCTGAAGTACTCATTTTAGTGGTGTTAAGATCACTGAATATTGTTATTCCCCCCCCCCCTTTTTTTTTTAATGTTTTCCCTTTTTGTTACTGAACATTGAACTCAGAGATGCTTTTTAACACAGAGCTATGTCTCCAGCTCTATTTTAGCTTAATTTTGGGATAGGGTCTCACTAAGTTTCCAAGGCTAGCCTCAAACTTGCAATCTTCCCACTTAAGCCTCCCAAGTTGTTGGGATTACAGGCCTGTGCCACCACACCTGGCTAATGTTAGATATCTTTGATATTTATAACCAGGGGAAAATAATAGTGGGTTTTCCTGGTTACCTCTTTGGGGCAGGGGGTACACATGCATGAGGGATTGAACCCAGAGACACTTAATCACTGATCACATCCCCAGCTCTTTTTCATATTTTATTAAGAGATATGGTCTCGCTGAGTTGCTGAGGCTGACTTTGAACTTGTGATCCTCCTGCCTCAGCTTCCTGAGCCACGGGATTACAAGCATGCGCCACCACACCCAGCTCTAATTACTTTTATTTATTTATTTATTTATTTTAAGGTTAAAGTGAGCTCCTCAATTCAGCATCCAGAAACTCCTCTGCACATTTCCGGTTTTCATCTGCCCTCCAAGGTAATTCCTTAGATGAGCCCCATTCATCAGGCTTTTTGCTGCCACATGTCCCAGCGCCACAGTCTGTTTATAGCAAATCAGAATTACCTGGGCCAACAGCATAGTTTGTCCAGCTCTGTGTAGTCTGACTTGTATGTCATGCAGTCACCTATAACTCCATTTTTACTTTTATTATTTTTTTAAAATCTCAGCCTAAACCCCCACAAGAAAAGACAGATAGACACCCAGCTGATGAGCCTGAGAACCTAGAATTCAGTTCCTTCTTGTTCTGGAAGAACCCTCTGCCTAATATTGAACGTGAACTACAGGAGCTGCTGGTAAGGCCCTGACTTAAAATCTCTTTCTAGTAACAATGCAAATTCTCCTCACCGTTCCTGTGGGCTGGCAGTTTGTGAATTCTATTGATGTTTCAGATTGACAGAGAGGAGGAAGATGAGGAGGAGGGAGTTGAAGAAAGGAAAGATGAAGATAGTGATGACGGGGGTGGGTGGATAACCCCCAGCAACATCAAGCAGATCCATCAAGAGCTAGAACAGTGCGATGTCCCGAAGGATGTGCAGGTTGGCTGTGTGACTACAGACTTCGCCATGCAGGTGGGTAGGATGGTGGGCCTGTCACCAGCAGTGATCCTGTGGAGATTGGTGATGTATACAGAGCTGCTTTTGTGTCCTGCTAATTTTCCTGGTTCTAGAAACTTCACCTGTGCTCTTTGGTAATTGCAAATTTTGCTTAGAGGCCACACAATCATATCATATAGTAATAAAATTTGTGTAGTGTGTTAAATTTTTTTAATATTTATTTTTTAGTTGTAGTTGGACACAATACCTTTATTTATTTTTTTTATTTTTATGTGGTGCTGAGGATCGAACCTAGGGCCTTGCACATGGTAGATGAGTGCTGTATAGCTGAGCCACAACCCCAGTCTCAGTATGTTGAATTTTTAGTATTTAAGTTTCACAGGGTGCTGGGGTTGTGGCTTAGTGGTAGATTGCTTGCCTAGTACATGTGAAGCCCTTGGTTTGATCCTCAGCACCACATAAAAAGATAAATACAGGTATTGTGTCCATTTGCAACTAAAAAATATATTTAAATTTAAATACATTAAAAAAAAAACAAACCAAGATTCACAGTCAGTTGATGCTTTCCTTTCAGTGTGTGTAGTTCCGGGCTTAGGTATGTAACGATAACAGGGAGAATATTTTCCCCTGACAAAATAAACGTCTCTCTTGAGAGGATTGCTAATGGTGAGCACAGGCTCCAGTGGTTGCAGCTAGAGAGAAACCTGGGTCCTCCTCTCTGTATCAAGGCATGCCAAGCTCACTTCCCTTAACAAAAGCCACAGATCACAAGCCAAATCAGTGTATGCAGAGTTCACTTAACTAGTTTACAAAGCCATTGTTAAAACTTATTTTCATTATTCTTTAACTTGTTGGTTGCAGAATGTCTTGCTGCAGATGGGGCTGCATGTGCTGGCGGTGAACGGCATGCTGATCCGGGAGGCTCGGAGCTACATTTTGCGCTGTCATGGCTGTTTCAAGTAGGTAGCTGATAATCTGGGGCCAGGGCCCCTCTGTTGAATACTCTCTTCCTACCCCTACTACAGACTTCCTGAAAGAGAACCCTGTGTTATAGGTCTTTTCCTTCCACTTCATCATTCCTATGTGGCCTGCGTTCCACTTCCACCAGTGAAGCCCTGGGACAGGTTGCCAGTGACCTCCCACCTTATCTTCAGTGATATTAGCATTAAGGATGTGGGTTCCAGAAAAAAGAACATTGATTCTCTAGAGATATGTACTGAAACATTTGTGGATGGACTGTCTAGGATTTGCTCTGAAATAATACACAAGTGGAAGGAGTGGGTAGGAGTAGAGATGAAGTGAGATGAGCCATCAGTTGGTAGTTGATAAAGTTGTGAGAGGTACTTGGAGGTCATTTTGCTCTTCTGTTTGCTTCTATACCTGAAATTTTTCTATTAGATGGAAGAACCCAGAGTATGTGTGTTCACATCCAGATCCCTTCTATTACCTGTGTGATTTTCAAAAGTTGCTTCCCTTCTCTGCTTCAGATTCCTCTTAAATAAAATTGAAAGGGTTGTGAGGAACTAGGAAGGTAGATCATTTAAAGAATTTGGCAGGGTATTTGGCACGTAGGAAGTGCTCCCTCCGGGTGAACTGTAGTTTATTGACTGCTCCTTTCTCTGCATTTCTTTCCAGGCTCCAATTGTCTTCCTGTGGTGGGACTAGTATTCTGTGGGCAGGGTTCTGGTTGGAGTAGAAGGGACTTAGCCTGGGCTAGCTTCTAGCCATCCCACATCTGTGGCTGGAACTGGTCATTTTACAGATTGTATGTTGCAGAGGCCTGTGAGGGACAGTTCTGGAACATCAAGGTGTCTCTCACTGGGCCCCCAAAGCTGCCGCACTGGGGAGTAACCTGGTGTGACTTTGTTTCCCTGAGGCTTAAAAATTACCCTTCCCTGATGGCCCAGAGGTCCAGCTCACCACCATCCTATGCAGTTCTGTCAGGGACTTCATCAGCCCATGCTTTTTCTGAACCTTCCTTTAATTTTTCTGTCTCCTCGTACCTAAATGAACCACACTTTTCAGAGTAAAGCTGCTTGCTTCATAAGATCCCAATTTCCCCCATTGTCCTTTGTACAAAAGCCCTTATTCCCATATTTAATGCTCGTTCTTAGAAATGCTTGGCAGTATTCTGCATATTTGTGAGATTAGTACAATGACTAGATGGTTTCTTACGTGGAATAATTAGTTCCAGCATCTGTGTAGAGGCATTGAGTTCACTCAGGAGACTGCAGATGAGGGAATTGGCTTCTCCAGCCAGTTCACACAGCCCTCATCAGACCATTAGGAGTTCGTGGGGAGCCCTGAGAGACAGATGCAGGCTCCTGCCTAGCCCTTGACAATAGCAGTTTTACTGTCCAAGGTCCTCCTCAGGAGCTTGAGCGGAGAGGAGGAGGCCAGGCCTCGGGTCTGCCTTCTGCACCCACACTCATCAACATGCCGGGTTACACAGTGTTTCCTCTGCGATGCATTAAGAAGAAATTCTTGCCACCTCCCGAGTTAACGCCCAAACTGACATTTGGGAACAAGGTAGATAATATGCACTTGGAGAAAGGACAACGATGTCGAGAGCTATCATTTTACAGCCAGACTGCCTGGTTACTAGCCATGTGATGTGACCTTCAGCAGGGTGCCTTAGCTTGCTTCAGTTTCCCTTTCTGTGAAATTGAGATAGTATGGACCTCACAGGATTATTTTGACGTTAAACTTGGAAAATAGAACCTGGCAACGTTTAGTAAAAGTTCGTTATTAATGTAACAGCATCCTGCTGGTTTTCATGGTGACTTGCTCCATGTGGCATTTGCCTTTCCCCTCTGAGGAAGACAGCAGCTTTTCACTTGTATCTTCATTCAGGAGATCAGCGGCCTTTGTTTTTATAAAGACAAGAATAATGTGGTTCAGCTTTTTCTCCATTTAAAAGGCATGAACTCGCCTTGTGCTATGGGTTGAGTTTGCTACCTGTGCTGCCAGTATACAACATGTCCTTTTGGGTCTCCCAGGACAACGTCTGATATGAGCCGAGAGTTCTGTGCACATTGTGGGAACAAGACGCTGAAGAAAGTGTCTGTGACGGTCAGTGACGACGGCACCCTGCACATGCACTTCTCCCGCAACCCCAAGGTGCTGAATCCTCGAGGCCTCCAGGTGAGTCACATGTTCCTCATGCCACTAACACCAGAATCAGAATGACCAGAGGACAGAAGAAAAGCTGGTCCAGCCATGTCCAGGAGATACAGGCTTAAAAGCCTGTGGCGTGGGTATCCAATAGGCAGTGTGCGCCAGCCTCATGCGTTTCTTGAGGAGTTCGCAATCTAATGAGAAGTAGCTAGTAACTCTGCACTGAATGCTGAGGGGCCACATGTTGGAGAGCCTCTGGGATACAGAGGAGGCTGGTACAAGAGTTGGGGGATGGGCACAATCTGCAGAAGCCCCATAAAGCAGCAAGGAAGGGAACAGTGAAGGCCCTGCATGGAAGAGAGGCCAGGGCTGGACACAGCAGCCTCAGATTTGTTGCAAGGAAATCTGGAGAGGTGAATGAAGAGATGGGAAACACAAGGTCAGGTGACCTTGACACCAGTGTCCCCCAAGCAGCAAATGTGCCAATAGTACCTGAGGAGAATATTTTAACTTTGTTTTTGAGGTAATTTTAGATTTATAGGTAAGTTGAAAAGCTGAACACAGAAATATACATTTTTGATAACTGTACTGTAACACAGTATATAAAATCAGTCTTTGTTTTAAGGGCAAAAGATCATTATGTGTATACACTCTAGTAGTTCAGAAAAAAATAGACATGTGTATATATATTTAGAAAGAAGATGATAGAGCAGATATAGTTAAAGATCAACACAGACATCCAGGTGAAGGGAGAGTATTAATTCTCTGCACTATTTTGCAACTTTAAATTTGCAGTATGGAGGGCTGGGGATAGAGCTGAGTTGGTAGAGTGCTTGCCTCACATGCACAAGGCCCTGGGTTCAAATCCCCAGCACCACCACCAAAAAAAAAAAAATACAGTATGGGTATTAAACCTGGGGGTGTTCTACCACTGAGCTACAACCTCAGCCCTTCTTTTATTTTTAGTTTGTGACAGGGTTGCATTAAGGTGCCCAAACTGGCCTGAAACCTATGATCCTCCTGCCTCAGCCTCTGGAATAGCTGGAGTTAAGGTGTTACCATGACTCCTCGCATTTGAGTCCCTTTTAAACTGGAGTGATATCTCAAATCTTTCATCCTTCATGACCTTGACATTCCCCTCTCTCGGATTTGTCTGATATTACTCATCATTTCAGGTTATATGCATGTTGGTCAGGAATACCCACAAAGTGATAATATTGTGTTCTCGTGCATTATAGCAGAGGGTACATTAGTTGCATAGTTACTGGTGATATTAACTTTGATCACTTGGTTAAGGTAGTTTCTAATAGATACATTGTAAAATTATTTTTAATTACAGTGGCATACACATGTAATCCTAGTGGCACAAGAGGCTAAGACAGGAGGATCACAAAGTTTAAGGCCAGCTTCAGTAACTCAGTGAGACCCTCAGCAACTTAATGAAACCCTGCGTCACAATAAAAAAAATATATAAAGAATTGGGAACTCAGCTCAGTGGTAAAACAATCCTTGGTTTAATCTCCACTATCAAAAAGAAAATTATTTATAATTAATAATTTATCTGTGGGAACATACTCTAGTTAAAGGTGCCTAAATCATTTATTTCAGTGATGATTGCCAAATGGTGATTTTCTTTTTTTTTTTTTTAATTTGTTTTAATTAGTTAAACATGACAGTACAGTGATCTTGACATATATTTGAATCAAATGGGGTATAATTACTCCTTTTTCTGAGTGTACAGATTGCTGAATCACATTGGCCTTACAATTACGTATATACATACAGCAATAGTAGTGCTATTTTATTCTGCTGTCCTTCCTATCCCCCTTCTTTCTTTTTTTAGTTGTAGATGGACATAATACGTATAATTTATTTATTTTTACGATCAAACCCAATGCCTCACACCTGCTAGGTGAGTGCTCTACCACTGAGCCACAGCCCCAGTCCCAAATGGTGATTTTCTAATTCCATCAACTCTTCTCTGTTTATTATTAGTGTTTTACTCATAAAGAGGAACTTATACTTCTATTCCATTTATGAGTATGGTCCTGTGAATTTATACTTTAATCTACTGGCTGTGATCCTACTATAGTCATCATTTTGAGGCTCAAATTGTTTCATGTTTGATCACCGAGAGCCCCTTCAAGCTGCCTTCTGTGTCCTTTTGACATGTCCCAATTATTCTTTGAACAGGTTCTCACTTTCTGGTATAGGAAGTTGTTCCCAGGCTCTCCTGCCCTAACCTAGAGTCAGCCATTTCTTTCAGGGGCTCTGCTCCTTTTTTTTTTTTTTTTTTTAAACATCTTTATTTTATTTGTTTATTTTTTATGTGGTGCGGAGGATCGAAGCCAAGCCCTCGTAAGTTCGCTAGGCGAGCGCTCTACCACTGAGCCACAACTCCAGCCCGGCTCTGCTCCTTTTTACAGAGAATGATTTTTAGCAGCAAAGATCTGGGCCTGGGTACATTCAATGTCAACCCCACATCACAGAGTGCATCCTAGCCCTGCCCAACCATGTTCAGAATGATACCCGTTAGAACCATTTCCCATCACTCTTAAGTTATTTGCGTGGCCCTAGAACACACACTGCCATTTCAGAGCTGCTCATGCACACTTCCTATTGTGAGAGTGGTACACAGAGTCTATAAACATGTGACTGGCTCCCTCTTTTGACAGCCTTCCCTCCTCTTTCTTGCAGTACTCACTTCCCATGCCCAAAGGGGGCAAATATGCCATCAACCCCCACCTGACTGAGGATCAGCGCTTCCCTCAGCTGCGACTCTCCCGCAAGGCCAGGCAGAAGACCGATGTGTTTGCCCCTGACTACATAGCAGGGGTCTCTCCCTTTGCAGAGAATGACATCTCCAGCCGCTCAGCTACCCTGCAGCTCCGGGACAGCACTTTGGGAGCTGGGCGAAGACGATTAAATCCCAATGCCTCTCGAAAGAAGTTTGTGAAGAAAAGGTGAAGTGTGAGCTTTTGCAGGCAGACTCGATCACAGTCACTGAGGAGTTCTGCTGTCTCATTCCCCCAACTGTGTTGTTCCTAGAACCATCTGGGTGGAAATGACAGGCCGAGCTTCGCGGTGCTGCTGCATGACTCCCAGTGTTGTGTGGGGTTTGTGGCGGGACTGAGCCACCCTTTGTCTTAGAGCATCCAGAGCTGGAACTTCTGCTTTGTCAATGGAAATTTGAGGAGAACAGAAAGAGTGATGCCCTGGAGCAAATTTTAAACCTTCAACGGAAGGAATTTCCAAATGGTAATATTTTTCTAATAAACATGGTTGCAAGCTTCTATGCAGTGAACCAGGTTCTTGCATCTTAGGGAATGTGAAGGCTTAACAAGCTGTATGTGCAAGGATTAAGAGTCTAGATTTATCTTTCTGCCAAAAATTATAATAAATATTGCATAGGAAAACTGAGCCCTGATTTTTTTTTTTAACCTCTATTTTGAAAAATTTTAGTCATTCAGAAAAGTTTGGTATAGTGAACTCCACAGCCTTTCACCCGATTCACACTTCTTTAACATCTTGTCCCACTCGCTCTCTTTCAGCCTTTGTCTCTTAGGAAAAGGATGGTCTTTTACCTAAGTATCTCTCACTTATCAAACTCAAGATATTTAATATTGGTAAATTTATTATTTAATAAATACTTAGGCTAGGCGTGGTGGCACATGCCTGTAATCCCAGAGGGTTGGGAGGCTGAGAATATCGACAGTTGAAAACCATCCTCAGCAAAAGCAAGGCACTAAACAACTCAGTGAGACCCTGTCTCTAAATAAAATACAAAGTAGGGCTAGGGATGTGGCTCAGTGGTGAATGCCCCTGAGTTCAATCCCTGGTGTACCCCAAAATAAATACTCAGTGCTGAAAATCAATGTCAGTTCAGAGATCAGGAGTTTTTTTCTTTTCAGTTGCCTGGTACTTCACTGTAGAAAGCTACGTGTTCAAGCATATAAGTATATTACAGTGTCTACATTAAGTACTTTACAATAGCCCCTTTAATTTATAAGACAGTTTACAGCCTTTACTTGATCACAAGTTCAAGGCCAGCCTCAGAAACTTAGTGAGATCTTGTTTCAGAATTTAAATAAAAAATAAATTAAGGTCTGGGGGTATAGCACCCATGGATTGAATCCCCCAGAACCAAAAAAAATAAAAAAAATGGAATTGGTATAGCTCATTAATCGAGTTTTTGCCTGGCATGTACAAAAGGCCCTGTGTCCAAGCCCCGGCACCAAGAAAAATGAACCAACTCTGGGATGTCTAGAATAATAGTCCCCAAATTATTAGATACTGACACCCCAGCGCCTACAGATGGGAAGAAATCTACGGTGGAGAAGTTGGATGATCACATAGTTTGTGTGCATATGTATTTGGAGGTAGATTTTTATACAAGAGACTCTCGTATAATTAAGATAGTAATGAGACTAATTATTTGAGCCAAGATGGCGAGGGAGGCTGGTGCACATTTACTGACTGTTGCTTCCAGTATTGGGGACTAGGTGTGGCTTGGCTTTATACATCCCTCATGGAGGTTGGTGCCTGGATCTGAAGTGATTTGAATATCTGTGTGTGGAATTGAATGCATGACGTAGACCAGCCGGGAGAAAATGAGTTCCCTCATTTTTTTGTTTTGTATAAAAGCTGAAGAGCTACTTGTGGGGATGAAGAGGACCAAGCATGAACATTGGAGTCCCTTCTATACTGTGTAGTCTATCCAGATGTGCTACATCGGACAAAATGCCAGCACAGCAAATGAATGTCATTTCAAAAGAGTTCAATTTAACCAATGTTATTAACCAAATAGAGGGTGACCTAATTCAGGCAATACGTAACATGACAAAATTCCTGCAAGACACAAACACAGGAAGTCCAACATAATGGCATATGTCCTGTCAGGCAGTGACGGTGCTGGGAGACAGGAAGACAGAAAAGAACAGGGTTTACAGTAGAGGAAACTTTCCTCCCCTAACACAGAACCTTTTTACTCCAGGGATAACTGGTATCTACAGGAACCACTGAGGACAACAGATACCCAGGTCCCCAGACAGGCCCAAGAATGGCTCTTGAGCTAATGTACAAAGTCCATCATTCACAGCTCAGAGAAAAGCAAGGGAGCTTTGGGGACTACTTGTGCAGAAAAAGCAGCTGTGCGTGTGGACACTGTGTATGAACAGGTGCCTAATGAGGCTGTATTCTTCCATCAGGAGGCAGATGGGGCGACTCCTGAGGATTCTCTCCTACTTCTCCTGTATTTCCAGATAATGAAGACAATCAACAAAGCTTCACAGCTCCAGGGGCCTGGCCTATTCCCTGGGGGTGTGGGAAGGGACCTTGAGGACACTGTATCCTCATGGGACTAAAGCCTGCTTCAGAAAAGACCAGGGGAATCATGAACTTGTACTGACAACAAATTAAGGTGGGAAGACAGTATGGCCCCAACCCCACATTTTTTTTTTACAGACTAAGCAACCAGGGCCAAAGAGAAGAGCATTAGGGGCTGGGGTTGTGGATCAGTGGTAGAGTGCTTGCCTAGCACATGTGAACACTGAGCTGAATCCTCGGCACCACATAAAAATAAATAGAGGTATTATGTCCATCTACAGCTTAAAAATATTAAAAAGAGAAGAGCATTAGTAGTTTACCTGAAGCCAGACTAAGAGCTCTAACTCAGCACGGGATGGGAGCTGACTGTGAAGCTCAGTGGCTTGAGTTCACGTTCTAGACTATTCCATTGAAGAGCTATATGACCATGGGCAGTCACATAACCACTTAGTGCCTCAGTTTCCTTATCTATAAAATGGGGGTTTATTCCCTACCCAATCTCATACATAAAATTTACCTCAAAGAGGAAAATTCTTTAAAAAACCCACTTGTTTAAATTTTCATGGCTTTGGATTAGGCAATGATATCTTAGCTATCACACCAAAAACAAATCCATAAGAGAAAGTTGGAAGTTATAACATTAGGAATAAATAGATCTCAGATGCTTAGAGAGAGAAAAAGTGGGTCAGATCCAAATGATCAGGAAGCAGATAATGAAAAATTCTCCTCAACGACCCCAAAACCTGGAGAGCATATATCAGGGCATTCAAAGTCCTAAGGGACAATTTTCAGCCTAGAATTCTACACAGGCAGGCAGGTAGATATGCAATGTGTAAGAAAATTTACTTTCCATTTATTCTTTCTTAGAAACTATTGGAGAATATATTCCATTAAAAAAAAAGGAAGGGGAAAAAGAAGAGGAAGGAGGAGGAGAAGGGGAAGAGGAAAGAAGGAAAAGAAAAAAGAAGCCAGGCACAGCAGTACAGCCTGCAATCCCAGCAGCTCTGCAGGCTGAGACAGGAGGATCACAAGTTCAAGGCCAACCTCAGCAACTTAGCAAGAAATGGTCTCAAAAATAAAAAAGGACTAGGGATGTGGCTCAGTGGGAAAGCACCTCAGGTTCAATCCCCAGCACCAAATAAATACATAAAATTCTCTTTAAGTATTCAAACAAAAATATTTTTAAAAGATGTGCTCATGGATTATTTCAGTAATAAAAATTAATGATTAAAAACAAAATCATGGGACAGGAGTTGTGGGTCAATGGAGAAAACTTGCCTCGTAAGTGTGAGGCATTGGGTTTGATCCTAGCACCACATAAAAACAAAGGCATTGAGTCCATACACAACTAAAAAAAGAAAAAGAGATGGGCTGGGGATGTGGTTCAAGCGGTAGCGCGCTCTCTTGGCATGCGTGCGGCCTGGGTTCGATCCTCAGCACCACATACAAACAAAGATGTTGTGTCCGCCGAAAACTAAAAAATAAATATTAAAAAATTCTCTCTCTCACTCTCTCACTCTATCTTTAAAAAAAAGAAATTACAGAATCTGTCAGACTCTAAAAAAACTAAAATACAAATTTTTTTTAAATCAAAGTCTAAATTCTCCTTGTACAGATGAGAAAACGAGGACAGTAAAACCCAAATCTGAAGGTTAGTTCATTCCTTAGATTTGATATGTTTTACAGGTATGTAAAATGTGAGTACTACAACTTTTCTGTAAATATTTAACTATTCCAAAGTAAAATTTTATTTGAAAGCATCAAGTAATCCAATGTCTTTCTGTAAATTTTTGGGTTTTGGGGGTTTTTATTTGTTTTTTGGTAACGGATTGAACCCTGGGGCACTTAACCACTGAGCCACATCCCTAACCTTTTTTTTTTTTTAAAGTACTGGGGATTGAACTCAGGCACTCTCCCACTGAGCCTTATCCCCAGCCCTATTCTGTATTTTATTTAGAGACAGGGTCTCACTGAGTTGCTTAGCACCTCTCTTTTGCTGAGGCTGGCTTTGAACTCACATGCCTCCTGTCCCCCACTCCCTGCCACCTCCAGCCCCCCCAGCCCCTACCCCCAGCCCCTGGGATTACAGGCATGTGCCACCACATGTGGCTGGAAATTTTTTATAATGTAAACTTTCAAATGGCTATATAATTAAGAATAGGATAATGAAGCTGTGTGTAGTAGCATGTGCCTATAATCCTAGTTAGTTGGGTTGAGGCAGGAGGATCACAAGTTCAAGGCCAGTACCTGGGCAACTTTGTGAGACTCCTTATCAAAAAAAAAAAAAAAAAAGGGGGGGGGCAGCAGGGTACAGTGGCTCATGTCCAGCAACTCAAGAATCTGAGGCAGGAGGAGTACAAATTGGAGTCTAGCTTCAGCAACTTAACCAGACCCTGTTTCAAAATAAAAAGGGCTGGGGCTGGGGATGTGGCTCAAGTGGTAGTGTGCTCGCCTGGCATGCGTGCGGCCCGGGTTCGATCCTCAGCACCATATACAAAGATGTTGTGTCCGCCGAAAACTAAAAAAAATAAATATTAAAAAATTTTCTCTCTCTCTTTAAAAAATAAAAATAATAAAAATAAAAAGGGCTGCAGGTGTAGCTCAGTGGTAAAGCACCCCGGGTTCAATCCCCAGTACAAAAAAAAAAAAAAGATAATGAATCACATGTACTCAATGAGATTGTCTCTAAATAAAATACCCCCCCCCCAAAAAAAAATGGGACTGGGGATGTGGCTCTGTGGTAGAGCACCCCTGGATTCAATCCCCAGTCCAAACTATAGTAATAATAATAACAACAAAATTAATCACCACACCACTATCAACCTAACTAATGAATAGTAATTTCTGAAGATCATATAATAGTCATTCCTTAATTTTCTCAAAGATGTATTTTTACAATTTTTTGTTTGCATCAAGATCCAAACAATACATTTGCTTGTTTTATCTCATGAACACAATTAACTGACATTTAATTTTATCTTTCACTGTAGTGGCATCCCCTCCTCCACAGACAATCTTTTTTTTTTTTTTAAAGAGTGAGGTGAGAAAGAGAGAGGGGGGGAGAGAGAGAGAGAGAGAGAGAATTTTTGATATTT